AAGATGAATGAGCGGCTGTAACAAAGGTACACAAAATAACGAAAGGCATAAAGAATTAAATTGGGCATTCATAATTCTCAGAAGGCCTGATTTAAAACCAATTCATATCAATGGGAGTCTTGCTGTTGACTTCAGTAGCCTTCTGGTCAGAGCCTTGGGCTGGGATTTTTGAAAGCACTTAAGGGAGTTAGGCACCTAGATCCTATTGAATTTTGATGGGTGTTATGTGCATGTGCCTCCTTTAAAAATCTCAGCCTTAATACAAGAATATGGGAACATCCAGTGAAACTGGAAAGCTATAAGCATATAATTGATTAAAGGAAACACTTTTTACAGCATGTGTAATTAACCTGTGGAGCCCATTGTCATGAGAGAACTTCGAAGCCAAGGGCTTAATAAGATTCACAAAAGGATTAGTCATTTATGTGGCTTGTGAGAATATCTCCAGTTATTTAATATTAGGCTAATATATGTATAAGGTGTATGAAGCCTCATGCTTCAAAATGTAAGCCAGCTATTAATTGCCTAGGGATGGGAAGAAAGTTCCCATACGGGCAGGTTATTAAATGATTGTCCATTACGGAGGTTTAGTGCAGCTTTCTCCGAAGCATCTGAGAGATTGCGATAATATAAGTATAGTACCTTCAGGGTGCCAGCTTTCTTCCACACTAATGGATTTTAACTCTTCCTCTCATTGGCACCCTGACTGACTTGGCTTCTTAACTTCTGAAAACTTGCTTTCAAGAGAGCCATTGTTGCATTCTTTGAACTCTTTTTTTTAATTATGCAATAGTGCAGTTCCTGGTCAATTGCTCCAAGCTTCCTTCTTACTCATACTTTTTATAAATTTCTTATCAGTAAGAAGTAGATCTAGGGTAGCTTCTCCTTGGGCTACAATCTCTAATTTCTGAATCATAAAGCTGTGTTACATATAATTTAGGAACACTTTGTCTGCTTGGTTGTATCTGTTACCCAGCTGATATGAGGGTAGTTAGCCTCCAGCCCCAATGAGTACTTTCAGATAGTCTATATTGCAGGATAAACATTGGCCCAGGAGTTAATTCTCTCTGTTCCAGTGTTGGTCTGTAAAACATATTGATGGTCTCGAGTCTCAGACTAAAAATTTAGCATCTCCTTCCTGCTCAGTGGAGGGCTGAGCTAGATGACGGTTTAGGTTAAACTATACTGTGATACCAACATTTCATTCTGGTCCGTCAGGAAAAAATAAGGAGTTGTAGTGTAAACAGGTAAGCAGAACCCTATTTTCTCCTCACACTTTTGTGTGCCTGCCTGAAGCAGATTTTTTGGGGAAAGTTTTTGTTATTCTCAGAAATGGCTAAACTGTTTTTGAGATTAGGAAACCATTAATTGATTTGTCCTTTTTTAAAATAACCTTTTAATTGAGAAGCTCTAGCTCCCCCATGCTTTGCAACAGGGACTTGACGTTTGGCAGGGACTTGATATCTGGTGTCAGCAAAAGGTCCATTGCTGTTCCCAGGAAAAACCTCCCAAATTTGGACAAGTTTATAAGCCTTTGAAAAATCTGTTTGCACATGCCCAGTAGAGAGGCTTGTTAGAGTTTGGCAGTCCAATTCTCTGAACATTCAGTCTGCACTGAGCATGTTCTATTCTCTCTCAGCTCCTGTGTGCTGACTGGACTGTGCATAGTCCCTTCCCACAGAGCAACTGAGCATGCTTGTTCCCAGAGGTACATGGACTGAAGACTTTCCCCATAACTGCTCTTCCTTGCCACCAGGATCAGTTGTGGCACTGAGTACCTGAACTAAGAGCAGGGATCTTCTCTCCTGTGCTCTGAGGGAAAAGAGGAAGCAGCTTGATATGAATGCAGAGGAGTGAGGAATGTATGGGCGGAGAGAGAATAGATGCCGGGAGGAAGGGCAGAAGATGGGGAAGAGGATAGAAACAGGGAGGGGAGAGGGGCCGTAGCAGAAGCTGGATGGGAGAGGGGCATGAGCCAGGGATGAGGAACAATAGGAGCTGTGGAGATGGCAGAGCATTCTGAGCGAGGCCCAGGTCCTGTGGGAAAAATAAGACTGCATCATAATGCATACCTACAAGGGGGTTGAGTTAAGGTTGCACAGGCAGTATTAATTTTGGCATTTCCTAACTTTTCTTGCTTGACTGTGCAGTCTTAAAACTTCCTTAAGATAGGGTGCCTTTTCTGGTTTGTGTGTGTGGGTTGTTGTTAAATGTAAAGGTAACCCAACCCCCTTTTCAAAATGTGGTTGTAGTTCACCCAAGAGCTCTTAGCCAGTAATGGGTCAAAATATCTGTTTTAATTAAAAGCGGCGTTTGCTGGTGTAATTCGCCCCACCCCTTTTGTTTTCAAGGTTACACTGGTCTGAGGGAAGCAATTGAAAACTGGGATTTTCAAAAACTTGAAAGCCTGGAGGTGCATCGGCAGCTGCTGAAACGTATAGAAGCTACGATGAGAGACATTGATGCAGAACAGATAATTCCTTACTTAAACACTTGTCTCATAGACCGAGAATGCGAAGAGATTCAGCAGGTATTATTTCAAAATCAAAATTGCAACTTGATTTGCAGAGTTTACAGTTCTATGATAATTGTGTAGCCCTGACTGCAGCTTCAGGTATGTCAGTATAATATAGAAACTAGGGATGTCAAACAATTAAAAATTAACCACAAGATTAAAAAAAATCATGATTAATTGCAGTTTTAATCGCACTGTTAATAACAGAATAACTTTTTTATAACTATTTTTGGATGTTTTCTACATTTTCAAATATATTGATTTCAGTTACAACACAGAAGGCAAAGTGTACAGTGCTCACTTTATATAATTTTTTTATTACAAATGTTTGCACTGTAAAGAGAACCAAAGAAATAGTATTTTTCAATTCACCTAATACAAGTACTGTAGTGCAATCTCTTTATTGCGAAAGCACAACTTACAAATGTAGAATGTTTTTATTTTTGAGTGCAGTTATATAAAAAAACAATGTAAAACTTTAGAGCTTACAAATCCACTCAGTCCTACTTCTTGTTCAGCCAATTGCTAAGACAAAAAAGTTTGTTTGTTTATGGAAGATAATACTGCCCACTTCTTATTTACAATGTCACCTGAACATGGGAACAGGTGTTCTCATGGCACTGCCTGTACATATTGGGGTGGACACCCGTTCCTGCCCTGAAGGGCTTGAAATCAGCACTTGAAATCAGGGTAAAAGCAGCCCTGGAGAGGGCTGCAGCTCTAAAAGCTGGGTTGATTGGGGAAGCGGCCGCAGCTGGGCCACGCCCCAA